TATGCATATTTGCAGCCGCATTGCCGCCGTCTAGTTCTTTATGCATTCCGCGGCTTCTTTTTCCTCCTGTTCGACGTCAGGAGCGATACCGGTCCGATAAATCTGCAGGCCGCAACGCGGCGGTCGGCCCGCCGGCATTTTACGCGAGAACTCCCGACAACGAATTCTCAAGGCGACCGATCGAACCGACCCGTGCCAATAATTAAAATTTACCAGCAATTTGCAATTCAGCTCGACCGATACTCCCGTAAACGTTCGAAACTCCGGAGCCCTCGAATCCACTTCGCGACTATTCCAAATTAAATGATATCGATGGAAAAATTCCGACCTTTAATTGTCCATTCTCGCAAGGAAATCGAAATCGGTTTCCGCGGCTCCTGTCGCGTTAAATAAAGCGAATTCAATATTTTTTTTCTGTTTAAAAAAGAAACACAAATCTTCATCGTTGCTCGCGGTCTTCAGTTTCATTCGCCGCGATAAATTTTAGTTCCGCGCGCACCCTGCCGCGTTAAATGAATCGCTTCGGATCTGCGGCAGCGCGGCGAATTTATTAAATGTTTTTATCTCGCGCGAGTTTTTATTCGATGCCGTATAAATCACAATAAGGGACGGTCTTTAAATAATTCTCCTTTCAATTGCACGAACTTTAAATCGTGCCGCGAACCCGCTATCTTGATTTTTAATCACCGTGACAAATTTCGATCTCGCGATTCCCACTTCGTTATATCACGCGTTACCGTAATTTCATAAGCGTTTCAAAAACGTTGAATATTTTATTCCGCGGTGCTTTATTGCGCATCCGGGCCTATAAATCGTACGAGAAACCGCGCAGTCTCTATCTGTATTCGCCGCGATAAATTGCGATTTCGTAAATCCTGTTAAATAAATTTCTTCGAATTGCCCGGACTTCTCTGCGGGAATTTTATTCCGCTGATCGTTGCAGATTCGGTTACAGTTCGTGTGACAATTCTAACGCCCTCTCCTTTTTTATTAACGAACAAAGGTACACCGGCGAACGTCGTTGCTTCGAGAGGAAATACCCTAGCATATACATATATAATTATCGATTAATAATATACGTATTTGATCGGACCCGGAACACGATAGCACGGTAATACGAGACACGATAGGTTTTCGCTGGACCGTGCCCGGCCCGGGGACTGGCCGGCAGTGTGTGTCGGTCCTAAATCGCTTTAGAGCAAGTCCGCGCTGGACGAACAAGAGCACGGCAGCTCTTGTTAACACGGTAAAACGTGATTGTGCCCCGGCGACTCTGTAAAACCGGGTCGTCGCAACGGGAAACTGATCGAGACTCCACGCGTCTGCTAATTAGAGGGTGAAAGGTGTACACGGTGGGGGGAAAAAAAGGCTCGGCAACGAGGAAATTAATTTTCCGGGTGAGGGACGGCCTCTCTCGCGGCTCGTTTCCTCGCGCTCGATTGTCCCTCCTTCTGAACTGATGTGGAATTCGATGACAGCATTGTCTTTGGCTCTTTGTACGCCGTACGCGTTCGGGTTCGCAGCTTCGTCGGGTGTCGACGACACCACCTCCAAAGGAGCAACAACTTTTCCACAGTAAAAATTACGCGGATATTTATTCCGCGCTCCAACCACGACCAACTTTGAATCGCCGATGATGCGATTGAAAAACCTGAATTAACTTTGAAATCGTGATTTTCCAAAAGATTTCTAAAACCAAGTTAACCCTTTGCAGCCGAAGCTATTTGAATTCGAAATCCAAAACATGATTTCTGATCCACAGTATTTCTATTTTATATAATTTATTGCGATTCATGCGTATGAAATTGAGCCTATTGGCAAGTACAATGCAATTTTAATAGTTGTTTTTTTTAAGTATAAAAGAGTCTGATGCTCTTAGAATGATTTTGAAAAGTAGTATACCAATTTGTAGTGGCGCCTCAGAGTCGCCATTCGAGCGCAAAGGGTTAAACGTGAAATCTGAACGAGACTATCGGCGCTTCGTTGAATTTATCTATTCCAAAATCGGTTCAGAAATGTCGTTCGAAACGATCGTTTGCTGCCCTTTATCTTCCACGAAATATTTNTGCGGCAGCGCGGCGAATTTATTAAATGTTTTTATCTCGCGCGAGTTTTTATTCGATGCCGTATAAATCACAATAAGGGACGGTCTTTAAATAATTCTCCTTTCAATTGCACGAACTTTAAATCGTGCCGCGAACCCGCTATCTTGATTTTTAATCACCGTGACAAATTTCGATCTCGCGATTCCCACTTCGTTATATCACGCGTTACCGTAATTTCATAAGCGTTTCAAAAACGTTGAATATTTTATTCCGCGGTGCTTTATTGCGCATCCGGGCCTATAAATCGTACGAGAAACCGCGCAGTCTCTATCTGTATTCGCCGCGATAAATTGCGATTTCGTAAATCCTGTTAAATAAATTTCTTCGAATTGCCCGGACTTCTCTGCGGGAATTTTATTCCGCTGATCGTTGCAGATTCGGTTACAGTTCGTGTGACAATTCTAACGCCCTCTCCTTTTTTATTAACGAACAAAGGTACACCGGCGAACGTCGTTGCTTCGAGAGGAAATACCCTAGCATATACATATATAATTATCGATTAATAATATACGTATTTGATCGGACCCGGAACACGATAGCACGGTAATACGAGACACGATAGGTTTTCGCTGGACCGTGCCCGGCCCGGGGACTGGCCGGCAGTGTGTGTCGGTCCTAAATCGCTTTAGAGCAAGTCCGCGCTGGACGAACAAGAGCACGGCAGCTCTTGTTAACACGGTAAAACGTGATTGTGCCCCGGCGACTCTGTAAAACCGGGTCGTCGCAACGGGAAACTGATCGAGACTCCACGCGTCTGCTAATTAGAGGGTGAAAGGTGTACACGGTGGGGGGAAAAAAAGGCTCGGCAACGAGGAAATTAATTTTCCGGGTGAGGGACGGCCTCTCTCGCGGCTCGTTTCCTCGCGCTCGATTGTCCCTCCTTCTGAACTGATGTGGAATTCGATGACAGCATTGTCTTTGGCTCTTTGTACGCCGTACGCGTTCGGGTTCGCAGCTTCGTCGGGTGTCGACGACACCACCTCCAAAGGAGCAACAACTTTTCCACAGTAAAAATTACGCGGATATTTATTCCGCGCTCCAACCACGACCAACTTTGAATCGCCGATGATGCGATTGAAAAACCTGAATTAACTTTGAAATCGTGATTTTCCAAAAGATTTCTAAAACCAAGTTAACCCTTTGCAGCCGAAGCTATTTGAATTCGAAATCCAAAACATGATTTCTGATCCACAGTATTTCTATTTTATATAATTTATTGCGATTCATGCGTATGAAATTGAGCCTATTGGCAAGTACAATGCAATTTTAATAGTTGTTTTTTTTAAGTATAAAAGAGTCTGATGCTCTTAGAATGATTTTGAAAAGTAGTATACCAATTTGTAGTGGCGCCTCAGAGTCGCCATTCGAGCGCAAAGGGTTAAACGTGAAATCTGAACGAGACTATCGGCGCTTCGTTGAATTTATCTATTCCAAAATCGGTTCAGAAATGTCGTTCGAAACGATCGTTTGCTGCCCTTTATCTTCCACGAAATATTTGCCAATTCTCGGATAACTGACAATGAGACAAACTGCGCACACAGAGTTCGTAAATGGGCGACCAATCTTCGGAAGCACGCGCGAGGTAGACGCCATAAATATCTCCGCTCTGTTTATGGGCACGCCGCCGTTCGAAAACGATCGATCATTTGTTCAAGATCAACGATAAATTTGATTCTTTTCGGAAAGAAGAATACGAACGACTGGGTGCGCTTCCTCGCGTTCCTCGTGTTCCTCGAGAGCACGATGTTTTTAATCGGTTAAATTGAACTTTTTTCTGCCATGGTAAAAGGGCGACAAATGTACTTATAAAAAAGAATTCTTTCAAAATTCTGGATACGTTGGATCCGGTATTCTACCGGTAGGTACTCGCGGAGCACCCTCTGTAGAATCCCTTCGAGGCAAAAGGGTCGACCACCTATCGGTCGAATCAGCGAAATTGCAGTTTCTTATCGGCACGTGCAAGATCGCAGATCTGCTTGTAACGCGCGGAACACGCGGCCATATTGGCGAATTATATTCTCGCCTGGAACGTTTTCAAACTTTCGCAGGAACGGTGTAAAAATTATCTCGAATACAGGTTCGCTTATCGCCGCGGAGTAACGAGGGAAAAAAAGGCCGACAGAGGAGGAGAGGGCGGAACTTTTGAGCGGTGAACTGCGGCGCGCTCTAATTTACTCCGTGTACACGCAGTTAACGTCGCGACAACGGTGTGACGTTGCAGGAACACCCGTGTAAACGAGCCTAAACGCTGATACCGCGCGTTTTTTTCGTGCGCGAAGGAGAACAAAAATGTTAAGAGTCGCGCGAGATAACGCTTTCTACGACGCGTAGAGTACGCTTCGAACGGTAAATAGTTAACAACGAGGGACGGGTGCGTATCTTTCTCGCAATTTATACCGCTGCGGTTTGTAATCGAAGCGCGAAGATGATATTTTCGAAGTGTCGTCGATTTTATGCAGAAATGCGGAAGCGTTGCGTCGAAGCGTTCCGTTTCGACCGCGCATCAAACGAGCGCAGTAAATTCTCCCTAATTTTCCTTCGGCTTGCGATCAAAATAAAGATGAGCCGCAAGACTCGAGAATAATCCCCTCGACTATATTATTTCTTAACCCCTTAACCTACGATTTAGATTCGAAGATGTTGGGCCGAAATTGTATACAAGCTCGCGCAGCGTTCGGGACGTTCGCACGACTTGTGTAACACGCCAATCCGGACAATTGTAAACATGACGGGCATCGCCCGTGGTAGAGCGGTCGCGGTTTGTAGATAGCACAGACAAGGCTCGTGAAGTATTATTATCTCTTCGTATCGTAATATTTACTTCTGGTCCGATCATCGTATGCGGGCTATGCCCGTCAAGGGGTTAAACAAATTTCAGGGAAGTAGAATTCTTACCTGGCCCGACGAAGTATGTCGAAAGTAGTGAGCCCGCTGACGTCGATCGGATTGTCCTCCATTTCCCACTTGGGGATGTTGCGGATGTTCTTGATCATGAAGAAATTTTGAAGATAGCTAAGGATATAGATAGGCAAGGACGCGCCCTCCGCAGGAACCATGGCCAATCGTCTCGCCACCTCTTCCACCTGAAAACGTTTTCCACCTCGTAAACTCCTCGCGTCGGAAAAATCGTCGAATCGACTTTATCGTCCCTGGCCAATCGGTGGCCCGAGTACAGGCTCTACGTACGACAAGACGCTTGGAAGAGCCGTTGCTTCGATCTGTTTTCTCTAGAAGAAAATCTCGAGGGATATGCCGGGAAACGGACATTTTTGCGAAACGATGCGAAAAATCACGTTTACGTTAATGCAATGGTCGTAGGCAGAAAAATCTCCTATTCGACAAGTACGCCGATCTTATCGTTGGTTTCGCGGACGGCGACGAAGTTAAATCGAAATTGATGTTACAGCTTTTGGTAGAAAATATGAAACGGGAGAATTGTCCATTGGAATTGATAGAAAAATGGCGCAATTTCGCCGACCACTGCTATAGGCAAAAATCGTTCCAACGCTGAAGCGTTAATTCAGTTTGTTCACAGATGGCAAAGGTGGAGGAGACCGGTTACTATAAAATTACCTTGAGGAACCTAGCACGCAGAATGTCCTCCGGGAACACCCCTCTCTTCGCAGCCTCTTCCGGAATGCCTCGGATCGCTGCTAGCACCAGAGGATCCTCTTTGGCTGAAAACAGATAGAGGAGTCAGTTTCGTCGAAGATTCTAGCGCAAGTACCATGCGGGCACGTTTCAATGTTTCAACGTTGCCCAAGGAAATTACGTAAAACATTATACGGAGATACCGGTGCAACGGCGGTGTTTTTGTAAAAATCCTGGTTGTTCCGTCGAAACGGAGAAAATAAAAATGTTCCGCCGTTCGGAAGAGACCTTCGGAGTCGGAAGGATGAACAGCAGGGAATAGTTTGCGTCGAAACCGAATGCATAATTGCTCGTTTCGTCGGATTTCGCGGGGATCGTTCGGCGAATAGTGGGAACGGCGCGTCATGTTTACAAATTGGCGTCTCCGGCGCAATCCTCCGCGGGAAAGCGGTCGAAAGAATAGGAATTGTCCTTCAATTTTACGGCATGGAAATTCCGTGGGAGAGAATTTATTAACATCGAGCATTACCGTCGCCTCATCCCCACCTACCCCCACCCCCAAACAAATTGCATTACACCAGATGCTGTTACGTCGCCGGAATACATTACTTCGCAATTTCGCGAACCGGTTACGTGATAAATGGACACGCGAATTTTAAACACTTTTTGGGAACCGGCAACGGTCAAATTTATTCATTTATGCGATCCGCGTGAAATAAAATTTATACGGTCACATGAATCCCTCCTAATTAAATGCCAAATATTACGCCGGCGTCCGGTGGCCTGCGCTAGAATTTCTGGCGAACGTACGACGAACGTTGTACGTCTGCCGCGCGTGCGACTGCGCTTCCTGCGCTCCGAGAACTCGGTTCGTTTCGCTCGTAATCCCCTCGAACCGCGTTCTTAACGAAAAGAAAGATTAATCGTGTACGATAGACGCAAAGTTAATCGTGCCCGAGAACAAACCAAACGTCCAGCGAATTTGTCACCGAAAATCCTGCAATCCTATTTTTAAAGCTAAATAACCTATTTCATTGTGCCGGGACGAGGCCAGTCGGCGTTAAAAGTAGAAAAACACGGATTTAATAGAACGAACCGTCGCGCTTTTATTAAAACCACGTCTCACGCTTCTGACAGCGGCATTACCGTTCCTTTATTTCCAGGATGTATTGCTCCATTTTGAGCACGGTTCGCGTACTCCATTACCAGCGACAAGGGAAACTTAACAGCAATACAAACTGCGTATTCTTTCGGCGAATCGCGGCCCTTTGGCCAAGCGATTGCGCCGTAAGCTTCCAGGTTCAACGGGATATTCAATGCACAAGAATGTTCTTGCTTCGTCGCAGGTACCCGCGGAATGTGCTTTTTAAACTGCGCCCGTTACTGCGATGATAAATTCTGTGCACAAGTTACATTTATCATTTCCGTATCGCGGGAAATAAATCGAAATCTATTCTTCGTACGAAACCCTGCTTAGAAAATGCTTCTATCGTTCTCAACGATCGCTTGTAGTAACCTGCTTGTGATACATTGTTTATAAAACATTGCTCGTAAGACGTTGCTCGTAGAAACGTTATCCGGAAAGGTATAAATACGTGCAATTCTTTCGTCGAAACATAAATCACGGAATCCGAATCAAACACAAATCAGAATCGATCGCTAGAATCCTATTCGTCGCGATGTCTAAGTACAATATACAGTAATGTCTCCCTAACTGACGCTCAGATTGAACACAAAACTGGACAATTCGGGAAGAGGAGGTACGATTATTCGAGCCTTCCAGCTCGTTTTTATAGTTGTCGACAATTCGTGACTATAAAAATGAACCGCAAGGATCGAGAATAATCGTATCTTTTCTCCCTAAATTGTCCATTTTTGTGGACAATCTAAGCGTCAATTAGAGAGACATTACTGTATGTATACAAAATACTGATGGCTATGAACAGATCGCAAATTGCAAATGCACGCGGGTCGAATAATCTCGTCTGCGATCGGACACAAACAGCGCAGCCTTAATAAAGTTCGGGGAAGTAGCATAGAACGGCTTCACCGGTCCATTATTCCGCGGCCAGCATAAAATACGGAAGAGCATGAATCTCTTCGGCTGTCTGCAGCTTAGATTTCCATTATCCGAAACATCTGTTGCCCTCTCCGCAACACCGTATCCGCTACTAACCGACAAAGAGCTCGAAAGATCGTATTACAAAATTTATGAGAACCATTCGCCAGGCCGGAGAGGAATTTTATTACACGTCCGTCGATTTATCACCCGATGCAGACTCATCTTCTCGATGGTAACCGCTCATTATGGATCATCCTGTATTTATCGCATCGTCGAGGAAGCTCCGCGAAAGTTCCGCATGAGAAATCGTCGACAATCACTGGGATCGCTTTAATTCCGCAGACCGGGAGATAAGGACGCGGAAAAGAATGCTCGAGAGCGAGAAATCGCCGAAGATTTACGACATAATCGCGGCCGACCGCGCATAAACGATTTCACCGGAGGATCCCAAAGGGCCTATGCTCCATCTTTTACCGTAGGCATCGATTATGCGACGCTACGCTCGGTTAATCGTGTCAACCGTTCGTCGAGGGTCGGCCGAATTTTTCTCCGCTCGAACGTTTCCGGTTGCGCCCTTTATTTTTTTTTTTCGAAAGCTCCTCCATCGGCCGCTTTCGAGCTTCGAAACACCGCGCGACGTTTTAACACTGGAAATATTTTATCGAGTACTTTCGAAGCGGCCGAGAGCGGCACTCTGTTCCCTCTCGAAATATCGTGGAACACTGAAACACAGGACTGTAACAATATTTTCTCCGCGCTGCGATCCCTTCAATGAATTATACGCTCGGTATTTACAAATATATTTACGGTTCATTGGAAGAGAATTCTCCGGGAATTATGAAACGATAAAAACGATCGTTCCGGAGAATCGCGGTACGAAATCCTCGGGGCTACGGAATTACGACGGACTATTTCAAAAGATGTTATTACTATATAAAGGTAACTATTTCAAGCGGATAATTTATGCTCGCGATTACGAGGAATTAGTGGCCGTTTAGAATCGCTGCGATTACAGCGTACAAGCGTGGACCAGAATTTTATTGCGCCGATAAAATGTATTTCCCTCGACGTTAACGAGTCGCGAATCTTTATTCCCTGTATATCGTTAAAAATTCATATTTTTATTCGCTCCGCGAGATATTTTCCTGCGACTGAAATTTTCACGAAATAAAATACGAAGATTGAAATTTATCCAAGGATCCTCTGTCTTGTTCGCGACAGCTGAAACCTTCGGTAATTCCGTTGTCTACGGTCGGCCGTAATTCCGACGTGCCGAAAAAGTTTCCTTAAGACATTAACTACATAGAATTCTCTAGTAGTATAGCCCAGCGGACACGCACGACTAGCAACGCTCTATGCATAGCCAAACAGCAGAAAATGGCGCAGCCCCCGTGTGGTCAGACGCGAATAAGTAGTACGAGAGCCGTGCATAGTCGACCAGAGTTAAGTAGTATAATCCTGGACTCTGTCAGCCACGACCGCCTCCGCGTAATCAAGGCGTAACTAACTCGTTTTACCCAACAGATAAGTATCGCCGTTCCCAAAAACTGAATGCCAAGGACGAACCCACTGCCGTACCATTTTCCCCAAAATTACTTTACAAGATTAGGACATTTTCGATTTCAACGATTTCGTAAGAGAAAAAGAAATTTATCGCGCCTACATTTCCTGGAACCTTCGTTTAATCCGACTTTAAACAACGGGACAGCATTCGTACAAAGACAGATTACAGTAATATTTCCCTAACTGACGCTCAGATTGTGCACAAAAATGGACAATTTGTTGAAGAAGAGATACGATTGTTCGAGCGGCTCGTTTTTATAACTGTTAACAATCGGCGACTATAGAAACTAGCCGGTAGGCTCAAATAATCGTGTCTCCTTTTCCCAAATCGTCCATTTTTCCTGGACAATCTGAGCGTCAATTAGAGAGACATTACTGCATTACGAATAGAAATCTTCATTGCAAGCAAAATAAAAGTTGCTTTCATCGAGATTGCAAGACGCGGGTGCTACGTAAAAATTTATTCTCTTTTCGATCATTTCAGTGAATGTAAAATGATACACCAGTGTTTCGAAGTAGCTCGAACGAACCTTGGTCAGATACTAATCAGAATCCGCGGAGCAGTATCGAGATGTCCAAAGCCGGTCCAACGAGTCCTCCCTCGAATGGAGGAGACGATAACGAGATGTAATTCCGGTCATTAACGGCGCAACAATTTCTGTCGCCGTCCATCAAAGCGCCTCCAGAATCTACAGCGCGGGCAATCAACGAACGGTCCTCGGAATCGTTTTTCCGCTTCCGGGCGAGCCGACGGAGGACTATTTAATTCATCGCGAGCGGCTCGGTTAATGAGTTTTCACGGCGCAACGGCCGCATTACCGGGCCCGAATATTCATTGCGTGCCGTGGAACACACGCCGAGTAGATTTACGCGCTTCGTTCTGATGCCACCGGAGTCCACCGGTCGGAAGATAAAAAGCTCGTAAATTTCCTCGAACGTAGGACGATAAGGCGCGGGGGCCGCGGGGCCACTCGTAAAATGAAAACGGAACGCGAGCTCGGAAGGGTGGGAGTCAGGGGGGGAGGGCAAAGGGACCGGGGGACCACCCTCGCTCTTTGTTCGGCCGCGCGATATTAGGGCAATGATTGTCCGTCGCGACTGAGTGATAATGACGATTGCGGTCGGTCCAGACAGTCGAGCCCGTGTTTACGGTGATTATAACGCGTTATATTGTTATCTGCGGGGCCGCATGACGGCTGTGTAAACGACGATCGTCGACCACGCGAATTTTAATACGTCGTAATGCCGGCGAGACGATGAACGCGCCAACGCAAACCGCTCGTTTTAATGTCCCCCCCTCCCCCCGCCCTGTTTTTCGAACAAGTTGCGCGCAACACGTTTCATTTGCTACATTTGTAGCGCCATTATACGGCGAAATTGTCTACTCAAACGTTTATCAAAATGTCTACACGTGCGCGTTTAAACATCATATTTTTTTCTGGAAACTGGATACTCTGCTTGAGAAAGTAGCGTGTTGTTTCGTCGCTGATCTTGTCCGATCCGCAACGGATTGCACTACTTAGCCAGGCCCGACGGTATGCACCACTTATTTTTCTTGTCTGTCAATTTGGGTTCATACTACTTGTATCTCGACTGCGTTTTAATCCTTTGCCAATTATTTCTGATTTGTCCATTCAGGACTTTGCTTGATCATTCTTGCCTGTCCTTTTAGGTCCATGCCATTTACTTCTTGTCCAGTCGTTCACATTTTTATTAATAAACCTAGCGATTATCTGCACTATATTATTCCTGAACCAATGTCTGGCCAAAAACGTGGTCTTACCACTGATCGATTTCTGTTCGTGTATAGAGGCGTGCTATTTAAAACGCGAACTCCTTAACTAATTAAACAAGAATTACGACATTATACAATTTCATCCGAGTCGGCTAATTTTTTATGAATAAGATTACAAGCTTTCCAGTGCGCGTACGAAACGATCGAATAACTCTGAATACGCGGGCAGTAGAAATGTTTATAAAAATTACGAACGACGATGGTTCGACGGGGCTATTAAGATTATAATAAACGTTGGCTTTTTTTTTCTCGAGGATCGGTTCGATTCACACGGAAACCGCCGAACGAGTGCGCGCCCACGGCGATTGAGTTTGTTCCACTTTAGCCGATGAAATATTTATACGATTCAGCGCGTATTTATCGCGCGCGAAACATTCAAAGCTTTCGCGTCCAACGAACCGTCGACCGTTTTAGCATTCTGGCCGCGAGGAATTCCGATACGTCGATACCTCCGCGATTGCAGCTTTAATCCCCCCAAAGATTGGCATTGTATCGCGACGGGGGAGTGGAACGAGATTATCATGCGGTTACCGCAACCTCGGTGGCTTCAAAACCCGGCCCGGCCCGACCCTCATAAATGGAACCGATATTATATAATATCAGTTAATATTAATCTACGATCGCGTTAATGGACAGATCGGAAAATACTGTCAATTCCAGAGAAACGTTTTCCAGCCGGATGTCAAAGACGGGCACGCGCTCACAGATTACGCGCAACTAATTCCCATATCGGACGTACGCTCGTGGAAAAAGCTGATAATCATACGGCCGAGTAAATAAAAAGAGGAACCTTGTAAAATCTCTCTCTCTCTCTCTCTCTCTCTCGAAGCTTTTGACTGGCTGTTCGTTAAAAAGAACTTTCAGATCCAGAGAGGATTCAAATGAGAGAAGACAAAAGCAGTGAAGCCGAGCGAACGGAACCTCAGAATTTAACCTGAAAGCTTCGACTCGTTATTTATTTAACCCTATGACGATCGAACGCTTCGGTCGCGGTTAAACGTGAACCATTTGCATAGGTGTATAACCAAGCGTTTATCAAGTGGTACAACTCAATCGTGACTGGACAAGTGGAATTGGCCATATTTAGCTAAACATACGTGTACTAGTAGAATAGCGTTGCTATGGTCGGACACGGACAACCGAAACAACCCTGTAAATGTTGCGAACGCGGGCACATGGCATGCCGTGATAACTGATAAATTACTTACGTGCCGCCTTGGTGACAGCCTTGATTTCTGGTTCCAGAGGCCTGATGGCCTTGTCCGCGCACGTACCAGCTGGCGTGGCTTTCACGGCTCTAGCCAAAGCTTGACAAGCTGACCAGAGGATCTGTGCATTCGATGCTCCCCTTTCTTCCTCGATGCGAGCTGGAACAAGAGAACGCGATGTTTCGTGTTACCACGGAATCGAGTAATATTTAACCTTAAGAAATCCGAACAAACGAAAAATATATCGTAACATAAGACTGAGGAACGGGACTGTATCTCACTTGCTATCTCGAATCTGTTTCTTTTTATTTGAATTTGCAAGCGTTATTTAGAACATACGAAGCGACGGGATTTCGAAGCAACTTAATTCGAGACGATAACAGACACCGAACGAAGCGTTCGGAAGTGTTCGAGTTCGAGAACGCTCGCTGGAAACTGTCTCGGGAACTGTCTTTGCTCGCCGCGTCGCAGTTCGCAAAATAGAATTTTACTTAAAAGCACTTTAGCTCCGTCGCTTCTATTGCATTATCCTGGTCTTATCCGCCGCGCCACTTTCGCGGGACATCGAAGGGATACCTACCATAAAATAATGGCAGCTCGAAAAGGTCACGTTCGTTGTGACACGTTTTGGCAGGTGGCGTGCGGCGATAATGCCGGCGAAATCGAAGAGACTTTATGGGGTCCGCGTCGAAGGACGGACTTTGTGGAATCGCGGCAGAAACCGAGCGAGAGAAACGTTCGACGGAGGAAAATTTAATTCGACGCTCTGGGTACCGACTGCGAAATTCCGAAGTGTCGGGAACGCTGTTGGTTCTCGTAATATCAACGGACACCAATTGGAAAATGGAAATGTTTAACGAAGAAGCTTGTCGATCGTGTCGCCGTGTCGCGGCGTTCGTTTCGATTTCGAAATGATTTTTCGTATGGAAAGATCACGCGAGAACATTTTACACCGGCGAATATTCCGCGGGGCTCGGTTTTACTCGCCGCCGTTCCCGGAATATTGATGCACTATCAGCCTCCATTGATCTATCAATATGGGAGGCAGGCCGTATCGATCGTCGGATAGCAAATAATCTCTTGGAAAATCCCCCGCGAAGCCAAAACTCAATCAGGTCGACGTGTCATCCCCCATAACCCAGTTTTTCTATCTTACCGAATCTCGAATTCGATTTGCTGTCCCCTGTACCTTGACCGAGCCTCGTCCAGATATCTATTTCAGATAGCAAATGGAAAATAAACTTTCAGGAAAACGAGGAAAGTTTCGCAGTTTCGACACGCCCGCGTAATTAACAATTCTCCCGAATTACGGCGCGGGGTCGAGCGAGAAATCGAGGAAAAAATCCCGGAGCTATTTTCAAGAAAAAGGTACATGTGGAACGATACAAATGAATTTACTCTGTGGTCGGACGAAGGCTGGGTCAGTTTTGTTCATAAAAAATGCCAAGGACCGAGCGGAAAAAGAAAGGAAGCGAAAATGTATCGCAAATTAAATTACACTGCGGTCGAATGAAATTTGCCAAGTGAGTTTCAAGTTTCTGAAAAATTTACAGGCGAATGAAAAATTTAAGTGATTCATCGGCTGCTTTAACGCGGAAGAGAAGCAAAAATATATTGCGAATGACATTACACCGAGGTGAAATTAAATTTCTAGGGTAATTTTGAGTGCGCGCGGTGTTAAGGGGCCAACTAGAAAATGCAGAAATTGCAATTAGAAGTTCGCGTGATTATCTGAACAGCTTGGAAGCTCGAAAATGGTAGCCGTGGATCGCTAAAAACAGCGATAACTCCTGCAACGAAACAGATGCTATTATAAGCGTGATATCGGGCCCGTTCTCCCGGTAATTCGGGCCGTGCATTTTAAAGAAAACTATTTATAACGATGTCTCTCGGCGCACAATGAAAAATCGTGGGACATTATGCGGCAGTTTAATCCTGCGGTGGGGTGAAATATGACGGCCGCAAAACTCCGCGAAACGAACGAGGAAGAAGCGACGACAATAACGATCGGTCATAAAACTCGAAGGGAAACGACACCGGCCGTCGATTGAAGGACTCGTGGTCCTGACGGGCCGGTATTACGAGAAAAATAAGGAAACTCGGTGGGAAAAAGGGCCGACCTATAAATCAAGAGAGAGAATCCGAGCGAAATAAATAAAAGGGCAGCGGAGTGACTTCGCGAACAGGCCAACTTCGCGAAGTTCTCTTCGTTCACCGATACAATGACGATACCACGTCGCAACCTCCGAACGCTGTGCCCTGACAAATGTCTCCGGAGAGACACTTTATCTCCCTCTCTTTCTCTCTGTCTCTCTCGACCTCTCGACTTTCGTTCACGCATTTCACGAGTTTCATCGTTTTCTCGTTCGACCCGGCGAACTGTTTCAGGACGATGTTTCGTTATCGGTCTCCACGCGACAGCCACTCTAATGGACATTCTTATTGTCCTCCTTGGTGCCCCACTGCTTCTTGATAATGAGCGGATACTTCGTTCTTTTTAAGGGACGCATCGATCAGCGCATTCCGGTGAACGTTTTTCTGAGGGAAACATGCGAGAGAGATGCGAGAGAAACATAAATCCTGCGTGTCAGAATGGAGGGGGCGTGTATTATTAGAGAAGTTTTATTTACCCTGAAACAAATTCGAAAGTTTTTGCGGATTGATCGATGGCTTGGTGCGCGAGCGGTGCACCGCATTGTTTGCTAGTTGCGCTGTGGGCGTTTATTACGCTGCTTCATTAAGATACGAACGTTGAATAAACTCGATTACGGTGGAATGAAACAAAAACAAGGGTAAAATAAATTGTACGAAGATTAGGAACGTTGCTGGATCTGCTGATAAACGGGTAAACTCTGAATACAAATTTAGAGAATAATATTCTCTTAATCGTAATATCCAGAGCATTAGAACGACGCAAGAAATAGTCGTAACAACGTATTATTTCTAGCCTGGTATCTCCCACGGAGAGAGCTTCTGCTTTTATTGGCGACCTCGGCGAGTCTTCTGCAGATAAATAAACACACGCCAGTGCAGTGGTGGAGTCCCGCGTATGGTCAGACGCAAATAAGTGATGCAAGCTCGCATACAACACACCGCACCGCATAGAGTTAAGTAGTACAACTCCGTACGCGGTCGGACGTAAATATTTCCCTTTAATATTGTTCTAATGCAAATAGAGCTCCGGGAACTTATTAAAATTGATTCTTAACCTTTGAAACTTTCAATTATTTGCTATCGATGCTACCAGAACTGGTCACCCATTGTCAAAGACTATCTTGAATTTTCTAAACATCTAAATATATACTTGTTATTTTTACGGAGCAATACGAAAGAATCCTTGCCTGTTCTCAGCTTCAAAATTTGAACCGAGCGACCGCAGTCCTCGGATCGCTATTACCCGAGATCCAAGCGTGTGCGTTGCTCAGTTTCCGGTTCGGGGCCGATTAGACGATCAAACAACAAGCTCCACCAGTTTCAGGGGTTCAATTTCTAATTGATGAACTGCAAATCGACTAACCCGGGCAAGGTGTTCCCCGGTCAAGCCTGTCGTTAATGTCGCCCGCAAGAAAAACGAGATCTATCTGGATCAAGTGCTCCTGCCCCGGTGATTTATTATACACGTCAATCCGGATAACTTTCGCGAAGTAACCTCGTTCGCAAAGTGCCACCCCTCCGNGCTGTGCCCTGACAAATGTCTCCGGAGAGACACTTTATCTCCCTCTCTTTCTCTCTGTCTCTCTCGACCTCTCGACTTTCGTTCACGCATTTCACGAGTTTCATCGTTTTCTCGTTCGACCCGGCGAACTGTTTCAGGACGATGTTTCGTTATCGGTCTCCACGCGACAGCCACTCTAATGGACATTCTTATTGTCCTCCTTGGTGCCCCACTGCTTCTTGATAATGAGCGGATACTTCGTTCTTTTTAAGGGACGCATCGATCAGCGCATTCCGGTGAACGTTTTTCTGAGGGAAACATGCGAGAGAGATGCGAGAGAAACATAAATCCTGCGTGTCAGAATGGAGGGGGCGTGTATTATTAGAGAAGTTTTATTTACCCTGAAACAAATTCGAAAGTTTTTGCGGATTGATCGATGGCTTGGTGCGCGAGCGGTGCACCGCATTGTTTGCTAGTTGCGCTGTGGGCGTTTATTACGCTGCTTCATTAAGATACGAACGTTGAATAAACTCGATTACGGTGGAATGAAACAAAAACAAGGGTAAAATAAATTGTACGAAGATTAGGAACGTTGCTGGATCTGCTGATAAACGGGTAAACTCTGAATACAAATTTAGAGAATAATATTCTCTTAATCGTAATATCCAGAGCATTAGAACGACGCAAGAAATAGTCGTAACAACGTATTATTTCTAGCCTGGTATCTCCCACGGAGAGAGCTTCTGCTTTTATTGGCGACCTCGGCGAGTCTTCTGCAGATAAATAAACACACGCCAGTGCAGTGGTGGAGTCCCGCGTATGGTCAGACGCAAATAAGTGATGCAAGCTCGCATACAACACACCGCACCGCATAGAGTTAAGTAGTACAACTCCGTACGCGGTCGGACGTAAATATTTCCCTTTAATATTGTTCTAATGCAAATAGAGCTCCGGGAACTTATTAAAATTGATTCTTAACCTTTGAAACTTTCAATTATTTGCTATCGATGCTACCAGAACTGGTCACCCATTGTCAAAGACTATCTTGAATTTTCTAAACATCTAAATATATACTTGTTATTTTTACGGAGCAATACGAAAGAATCCTTGCCTGTTCTCAGCTTCAAAATTTGAACCGAGCGACCGCAGTCCTCGGATCGCTATTACCCGAGATCCAAGCGTGTGCGTTGCTCAGTTTCCGGTTCGGGGCCGATTAGACGATCAAACAACAAGCTCCACCAGTTTCAGGGGTTCAATTTCTAATTGATGAACTGCAAATCGACTAACCCGGGCAAGGTGTTCCCCGGTCAAGCCTGTCGTTAATGTCGCCCGCAAGAAAAACGAGATCTATCTGGATCAAGTGCTCCTGCCCCGGTGATTTATTATACACGTCAATCCGGATAACTTTCGCGAAGTAACCTCGTTCGCAAAGTGCCACCCCTCCGTTCCTCGCTTCTCTCTCTCTCCTCTCTCTCTCTCTCTCTCTCTCTCTCTCTCTCTCGCT